CAATCTTCATTCAAAATTGAAGCCAGCAAATGCAACGGATAGTCTATTATGATTCAACGGATAGATTATCCAATCCAGCTATAAATAGCATCCTTGGAAGACTGGAGAAGGTATGAATGTTGAGATACATTGATACAACAACACAACGAAGCAATCTAAAACAAAGCTATCTCATTCACAGTTAGCCCAAAAAGCTTGAGAAAGAGAGATTTCTAAACTCCTTATCCAGAAGCAAACTCCTCCTCCTTCCAAAGAGCTATAGTGTAAACACTTGAAGGTTTTCTTGCCTCAAGTACCACACCACGTTGAAGGATACAACTTTTTGATCAAACTTCTTGATTAAAAAGGGGGTAGGTCAACTTTCTTACAAGTTGATCTTGCAAGTTCTATTGTTCGGATCTTGCAGTTGTTGAAGAAGCGTGACCTTCGAAGGAACAACAAAGCCAGCACGAGTGCAGTAGCAACATTGGTCTTGCGAAGATATACCGTGCAGAAATTCACACAAGTGTAATTGTTGGTTCATTATTCAACGACCAACTACATAGTGGATTTTGAGGACGTAGAAGGATTACCCCACCTTCGAACCTCGTTAAAGTTTGTGTGTCTCTCTCTTTTATCTTTACTCTTACTTGCAATTATATTAACTGTGAAAACTAACCCATCCATATTGATCACTGCTCACTCTACCCACCAAATTCCGCACACAATCTAAAGTTCTCAAGAACTCTAGATTAACACTTATTTTCACGTTTTCAAAAGAAACGAAAAAGATTTTAAGTTTTGTAACAAAGTCTATTCACCCCCCCTCTAGACTTTGTATCTCACCACTTTGGGACCACCAATAGCTCTCCGCGCCAAGAGAAAGTTCGGTTTTATCGACGGATCTATACCGTTTCCCGAAGAAGATTCCGACAAGGTTGAAGAATGGTGGATCGTAAACGCTATGCTTGTCTCATGGATTTACAACACCATTGAGACAGACTTGCGAAACTCCATCACTCAAGTAGAGGTGGCGGCCGATTTGTGGAATGATATAAAGGCGAGGTTCTCCGTGGCAAACGGCCCACGGATCCATCAATTGAAAAAGGAACTGGCGAACACCAAGCAGAACGGCCAGGAGATCGTTAAGCACTATGGCAAGTTAAAAGCAATCTGGGATGAATTGTATGATATGTTGAAGGTGCCGGCATGCAAGTGTGGTGGGTGCAAGTGTGGCTTAACCGCACTATTGGAGAAGCAACGTGACAAAGAAAAGGTGCATCAATTTCTGATGGGCCTGGATAATGAAGGTTATGGAAGCCTACGCTCGAACATTCTCAGTGCCGAGCCGTTGCCTTCCATCAACCGGGTTTATTCCGTGATAACCCAACAAGAAGGTGTGCTAAAGCTAACAACCGAGGAAGAACGAAACCCTATGGGTTTCGCCGTGGCTGTGGGAAGACCAACTCGGGATAACAGCCTCAAGTGCAAGCACTGTGGGCAGACGGGACACGAAATAAGCGGCTGTTTCCAAATAATCGGGTACCCGGAATGGTGGGCAGACAGACCACGCATGCAGGGTGGCGGACGTGGAGGCAGTCGCGGCGGCAATGGCGCATAAACTGGCAGGCGCAATGGAAGGGGAGGCGCTGCCGCTGGACGCACTGCAAATAGACCAGAGCAGCCGAAAGACAGAGGCGGAGAAGGTTATTTTGCGGG